GTTGCCATTGAGTCAGTTCCGACTCCTGGCCAGTCCCTGTGTTACAGAGCAGAACTGCTTTACAGGGCGTATTTTCCGGTTTGGCTCTGGATTTGATCTTATTTGGTCCGTGGGCTTTTCTTGGCTGTAATCTTTGTGGAAGCAGATCACCAGGCCCTCCTTCTGCGCCGCCATGAACGGGATTAAAACAGCAAGCTGAGCTCACACTGTGTGCACCACCCAGGAACTCTGGATACACAGAAAACCAAAACAACCCGTTGCCATCGAGTTGACACTGACTCACAGCAACCCTACATACAGGATAGACCAGAACTGCCCCGCAGGGCTTCCAAGGCTGTCAGTCTTTATAGGAACACAGTGCTGTATTTTTCTCCCACGAACCTGCTGGGGGGTTCGGAGCTACCGATCTAAACCAAACGCTTAAGCACTACACCACCAGGGCTCCTTGGGCACATAGCAGGTGCCCAACGAACACCTACTGAACGAACAAGGAAAAGGAGAGAGCCGGCCTCACCCAGTGACAGCAGGCTCCGGAACATCTCCAGCATCACCTCCCTGTACAGGTCCTTCTGCTCAGAGCTCAGCGTCTCCCATTCTGCCTCTGTGAAGACCACAGTGACGTCCTCCAATGTAACTGGTTCCTAGAAGCAGCAATAAATCAACACATGGCCAGTCACCATCAGTATTCCCAGTGAGAGGAGCTGAACTGGTACCCTGAAGAGTCTGCATCTCAAGAAGTTCATGCAAATCTTCAGAGAACGCAGCTCTGCACAGCAATTCCCTGGCCACGGCTGGGCACCCGGCTGTGTGCTCCAATTCCTGGGGAGCACAAGGGATGCACAGAACACACGCTGCCCCTCAGACCCGCATGACTTCACTGAAGAAGTGATTCGTCAATAAACCTGCAAGCGCCAAATGAGTCATCAAAGAAGTGACTTAGAGGATCCCTAATGGAGGGATTTGAAGATGGGAGAGTGGAGGATGGGCTAGAAAGACAGAAGGCATCATGGGGTCTGCTAGGCATGAAGGGACAGTGAAAACTCATGGGAGAAGATGGAGGGAAATATCAACCAGAGAGAAAAGTGGGAGTTGGCAGACAGGGTCTGGAATGTGCATTTCTGAAAAGTTCAGGGAACTCAGTGGGATCTATAAAATCACTCTTGGGTCATGTATTTTAACAACTTTTTCTAATAAAGTCCTTAAGATGTCACTCATTATTAGAGTACTATCTCATCCGTGCAAGACAGCTGGCAGCACAGTGGTAGTGATATTCCAGAAAAAGGCCATTTAAAGACAGAGGTAAAACTAGGGTCAGTGTCAACGAGTAATTTATGGTGTCACCACTCTGTGGGTGCAGCAACCCTTACCCCTAGTGGGTGTAAAAACTGGTCAGCCTGTCCTCCCCACAGCTCCTTCCTCTCCTACTGGCCAAGGAGGAGACCCTTCTCTCCATCCAAGTGCAGATATCATGGCCCACCAACCCACACTCTGTCCTGGGGAGGTGACACCAAGCTAGTGATGCCACTGTCTTGGCAGACCCTCTACTGGGGCATCAGCCATGCCACTTTTATCATCACCAGTGCTGTGGACCCTGGGCTCACTTTGGTATCACCATCTCTGACAGTGTCAGGGGATGTGGTACAAACTTCCCATCCCACTAGCGACACCACTCCTTACAGATAACTTAATCTTTAAAATAAACCCCCATTTAGTCTGACTCATAGCAACCCATAGGGTTTCCAAGGGACAGAGCAGAACTACCCCACAGGGTTCCAACGCTGTAAATCTTTACAGAAGCAGACTGCCACATCTTTCTCCCACAGAGTGGCTGGTAGGTTTGAACCACCCACCTTCTGGTTAGCAGCCTCATGCTTAATCACTGTGTCACCAGGGCTCCTAAAACACTTTATTGAAGTATAATTCAACATTCATTTGCTTCACAATTCACCCACTGTAAACACAAGAATGCCTCACTCTACACAGTTCTATAATGAATGAATTTCACTTACTATGGTTAAGTTAAATACCCCCAGTCCCTCAACAAAATGCATCAAATTTCAGTTGCCATGGTACAGTAATAGTGAGTAACTGCTTAAAGCACAAACCCTTCTGCTAGCTCTTCAGTTCACAGATCCCTACATAAACATGGATGCAAATCAAGATCAGTTACGAATCCTGTCACTTCTTTCAGAGTCCCACTGACCTCAGGGGAGGAAGGACTGATGCAATCAGTTGATCATCACTATACAATAACATCAAAACAAGTCCTGGACACACAAGTTCCAACAGCTTCCTGGTTGGTGAAAGACACTGATGCTAGAGGGACGGCTCCACGTCCCTTCTGGGGACAGGGAAGCTCCACACTGGGAACCCTCCCAGACCTTGCCCGATGCATTTCCTTTACGTCTTTCTCTCCTATGATAAAGATTTTCAATGTTGCAGGCAGACTCTCCCCACCTGGCAGTCTGAAGAACAGCAACTTTCCAACTTGTGAGCTCTGACCTGGGCCCAGGGTTCTAGGGTCCAAGAAAGAGGTGCTGTGTGGGCAGCTGGTGGCAGACTGAACAGAGAAGTGGAAAAGCAGATATTTTGGTAATTATCGATACCATATCATATTCCTGTAAATGAGATTGGCCATTAGAGATGATTGTTGAAGCTACAATGATGGTATTTGAAAATCTATTTTTAGTAGGGTCTTGACTCCTGCATGTTTAAAAAGCTCAAAAATTAGTAAGTAAAAAGATGGCCATACAAGATGGTATCATTAGATAGTATGTGGATGCATAATGAAATTCAATAGTATGTGTAAAAATATTAATAATCTAAGCTTTTAAAAAATATTCCTTATGTCTTAAGAGCTTCCTGGCTTCTCCATATTAATCTCAGGTATTATCCAACAACAAAAATGAAATGCAGAGACCCTTCTAAAATGCCAGACATGGGCCTGACATGAAGGCATAAGACGACTAAATGCTGACCACCTTCTCCCTTCCCAAGACAGAGACTATGGGCCTATTTTCTGATAAATGAGCCAGCATTTCAGAAAAATAAGGCAATTCCCACTCACCAGTATCTTGGGCTTCCTCTTCCTCTCTGGGAGCCAGTCAGCATCCTCTGAAGACAAACCTAGGAAAGAAAAGGAGCTGTGAGCAAGCAGACCCCCCGGATCCCCCAGAGCAGCTCCTCTGACCACGGAGGGAAGGAAGGAGCCACTGCACTCAGCTGTGGCCACTCCCCTCGTCACTGCTCCAGACCCTCCACAACTCTTACCTTTTGCCTTATGCTTTTGAGTCAGTTTCTTTACGGTCTCCATCTCGTCCCTGTGGGAAGCCAGTCTCCTCCCAGTCCTGCTCTCCCCAGGGAGAAGGATCAGGCAACGTAATGCCTCCAGAGCCAGTACAGTGACTGCTTTGAAATTCTGCCACTGGGCCAGCCGGAAGTCATCGTCTCCGCTGGACCTCTGCTGCCGGGGCGCCCTCTCCCATCCTCAGTGATGAAAGCCCCCGTTGGCTACCTGCGTCCAGGACCTGTGGGGCGGAGACACAACTTGGTGCTGCTGGGCCCTTCACTGTGTGGGCTAAATCCATGAGTCCCCAGCAGGGCGCCCGTCCCCTCTCACCCTCTCCTCATTCAACACTCACAGGGTTGCAGGCTATTCTGCTTTTCGGGATTTTCTGCCTTTATTCATTTCTGGCCTATAAGCCCTCGAGTCCGTTCCCTGACACTCTTCCTCACCTGTCAGATTTCACAGGTTGAGGATGTGGAGAGATTGGGAGACTGTCATACACTGCTGGTGGGACTGTAAAATGATACAACCATTGTGGAAAGCAGTATGGCAATTCCTTAAAAAGCTGGAATTAGAAATACCATTTGATCCAGCAATCCCATTACTAGGTATATATCCTAAAGAAGTGAGAGCCAGAACAAGAACAGATACATGCACACCCATGTTCATCACAGCACTATTTACAATAGCAAAAAGATGGAAACAACCTAAGTGCCCATCAACAGAAGAATGGATAACCAAACTATGGTACATACACACAATGGAATACTATGCAACACTAAACAATAATGCAGAATCTGCAAAACACCACATAACATAGATGAACTTGGAGGACATCATGCTGAGTGAAATAAGTCAATCACGGTAGGACAAATATAGTATTAATTCGTTACTGTAAAAAGTCAAGGGAAGGTTTATATATGGAAGGAAACTTTCTATGTTGGTTACTGGTGGGGGAGAGAAGGGGAGGGAACACTGCAAAAAAAAAATGCATTGACCCATCATGTCACTTTGGTTTTGTGTATTTCAATAAAATGTATTTTTTAAAAAATTTCCTCTGTAAAATAAAAAAGCTAACCAAATCCACTGCTATTCGATTGATACCAAGTCATAGCAACCCTTCAAGACACAGCTGAACTGCCCCACAAGATTTCCAAGGCTGTAAATCTTTACAGAAGCAGACTACTTTATGTTTCTCCCGCAGAGCAGCTGGTCAGTTCAAACTGATGACCTTTTGTTTAACAGCCAAATGCTTTAACCACTACACCACCACAGCTCCTTTAGTAAAGCTAAAAGTTAAATGTAAATGGGTCAAGACAAAGTCACTATTGTTCCACTGACATGAGTTCAGGCTAGGCCAAAAGCCAGGTTTTGAATGGTTCTCTCTGTCAGATGTTGTTGTTGTTGTTGTTAAGTGCTGTCGAGTCGTTTCCGACTCATAGCGACCCCATGCACAGCAGAACGAAACACCGCCCGATCCCGTGCCAGCC